CAAGACATGCAGCTCATGGGGCCGCACTTGAGAATCGGTACTTCGCAAGGTGGCGGTTTTCACTTGATTGCAGATTAGTCTCCATATCTGTGCCGACTTGAACTGAGACTTTCCCTATACTTTACTTCTTTGGTGGTACTGCACTTTGAATTCAGGGTCTCACTCTTGCTAGGCAGGCTCTCTATCACTTGAGCCACCCCTCCAGCCCTAGACCTCTATACTTTAGACAGATGTCAAGAGTGGGACAAGGCAGGACACGGCCCAGCTTGCTCTCAGTGTGGCCCATGACCTAGGCTGCAGGCTCCTCCACGAGACGCCACAATCTCTCAATAAACAAATGGACTGGGCAGGGCTGGCTAATTCTCCACTGTGACTTTTCCCCTACAGGTGCGCCGGCTGCCTCTCTGGAGCACTGCCCTGCAGTCTCCATATATATGGCTGATATGTACGTGCTATTAGTAGGCTCCAGGGGTTGACAATTATATTTTTGGCTCTGTGTGGCTGTTCTTACTGTGTGGATGATGCTGACAGCTTGGATGGATTCTGAAAGACTGTTTTGTTTTCAAGAGTCTGTCTCCACGTTACAGTAGAAAATGACAGATATTATTTTACTGTGGAACACTATAAACTATTATAATGCAAATATTTTAAAACTTAGGGGCAATGGTAAAATAAATTTGGCTGTACCAAAAATATCTACTTGTTCCTAGGAAGGTAGCCAGGTAAAGTATAATTTTTCAATCAAGAAACTGTCATTTCAGCTGGGAGCTAGTGGCTCACTCTTGAAACCCTAGCTACTCAAGAGGCAGAGGTCAGGAAGATTGTGGTTCGAGGCCAGTCTGGGCAAATAGTTCATGAGATTCCATCTCCAAAATAACCAGAGCAAGTGGCCTGGAGATGTGGTTCAAGTGGTAGAGCACATGCTTTGCAAGTGTGAAGCCCTGAGTTCAAACTCCAGTACCGCCACCAAAAAAAAAAAAAAAAAGCAACTGCTATTTTAATTTAGGGAAATGATATTTTCGTAAGTAAGTTCTTAAGTAGAATTATCAACTCTGTTCTTTTCCATGTACAGAAAACTACCCTAAAGGAAGAACTGGAGAAATGGGATCCATCTTCTACCAGATTCCCACTTCTAGAAAGATGTAGTGTATTTATTTTTGCAGTACTGGAATTTGAACTCAGGACCTCACACTTGCTAGGCAGGTGCTACCACCTGAGTCATTCAGCCAGCCCTGTTTTGTGTTGAGTGTTTTGAGATAGGGTCTCGTGAGGTATTTTCCGGGCTGGCTTCGAAACTCGATCCTCCTGATCTCTGCTGCCTGAGTAACTAGGATTATAGGTTACTCACCTATAATCCACCTGTGCCCAGCCTCCTCCTCTTCCTCGTCCTTCATTCTCCTGTTACAGTGCTAGAGCTCAGACCCAGGTCCTCACACACGCTGGCAGGCACTCTACCACTAAACTGCATCCCCAGCCCTCCCTAACATCTCTTGAAATCAAACACACTTCAACTTGAGGGTTTAACTTCCTTGTGAAGGACCCTCTTGCCACTTCACCCCACTCCACTTCTGCCGTAAATCATCTACTGAAGATATTTGTATTCCTCTTACTCACATAACTTTGACCTGACTTCTTGAATAATATGGGGTCATTTTCACCCTTTTGCCCATTTCAAAGCATTTTTCACATTAGCCAATCTGGATGATGCTTGTCCCTGCAAGTTCCTCCCCTGGGGAGAAGGCGGTGCACTTTCTTTCTGCCCCATCCCAAATACTGTTTTCCTTTTAAAGTAACAGTCTACAGGGCGTGCTTGTGGCGTTTGGGCACATTAGTAGGGCTACGGTGGAATGTTGGCATCCCCCTTAAACTCTGTCTGCTGGAACCTAATCCCCAATGACAGTAGTAAGAGGTGGGACCTTTCAGAAGTGATTAAGTCACAAAGGCTCCAACGTCTTGGATGGGGTTAGTGCCTTTATAAAAAGGCTTAAGGGCAGACAAAGGTATCTCACGCCTGTAATCCTAGCTAATAGGGAGAATGATATCAGAGGATCACAGTTCAAAGCCAGCCCCAGCAAACAGTTCTAGAGACCCCATTTCCAAAATAGGCAGAGTAAAATAGACTGGAGGTGTGGCTCAAGTGATAGAGCACCTGCTTTGCAAGCACAAAGCCCTGAGTTCAACCCCAGTCCCAGGATAAATAAACAAACAAACAAATAAATAAATAAATAAAATAGGTTTAAGGCCTCACAGCACTTGGGAGGCTGAGGCAGGATGGTTTTAAATTAGAGGTCAATGGAGGCTATGTAGCAAAACCCTGTCTCAAAAAAAAAAAAGAGGCTGGAAGAGGCTCCCTGGCCTTCTCCACCCAAAGAAGGCACAGAGGAAAAGCACTGTTTGCAAGCAGAGAGCACGCCCTCTCCAGACACTGAATCTGCTAGTGCCCTGATCCTAGGCTTCCCAGCCCAGAACTGTGAGCAATGAACCTCTGTTGTTTATAAATTATCCTTTAAGGTATGTTATTATAGTAGCCCAAGCAAATGAAGATAACCACAGATGAATTCACTTTCCCCAGACTCTGGATGTTTTTAGCCATTTCACATTTTTTTAAACTATTTACTTTTTAGATATTAATTATAATCTTTGGTGGGAAATTGGTTATGGACATAAACAACTAATTAATAAGAAGCATAAAAATAACTGCAGAGCTGAGCATGGTGGTACATGCTTGTAATCCCCGCACTTAGCAGGCTGAGGCAGGACAACTGTGAGTTCAAGACCAGTCTGGACTACATAGTAAGACCTCATCTCAACAACAACAGCAACAACAAAAGCCCTGCTAATTGTCTCAAGATGGTTGTTTCTTTTTTGAGCCTGGATCTCAACATGTTACCCAGGCTGGCCTTGAACTCTTAGGCTCAAAAGACTCTCTAGCTTCAGCCTCCTGAATACCTGGAACCAATGGCACAGTAGTCTGCATACCCAGCTCTAGTGAGTTTTAAAAATTGTGGCAAAATATAGGTAACACAAAAGTTGTCTCTTTTTTTGTGTGTGGTACTGGGACTTGAACTTAGGATCTTCACCTTGCGGCACTCCACCAGCAGCTTTTTCGTGGTGGTTTTTCGAGATAGGGTCTCACGGAACTATTTGCCTGGGCTGGCTTCAAACTGCGATCATCCTGATCTCTGCCTCCTGAGTAGCTAGGATTATAGGCGGAGCCACTGGCGCCCAGCTCAAAAGTTGTCATTTTAACCTTTCGTGGTACTGGGGTTTGACCTGAGGGTCGCTCACTTGCTAGGCAGGTGCTTTTACCACTTGAGCCACTCCATCAGCCCTTTTTTTGTGATGGATTTTTTCTTGATAGGGTCTTAAGAATTATTTGCCTGGGGCTGGTTTTGAACCACTATCCTCCTGATCTCTGCCTCATGAGGATTACAGGCGTGAATCACCAGCACCCTGCTACAATTTCATTCTTTCTTATGGCAGAATTATATTCCACTGTATGTATAGCATCCTATTTTCTTTATCAATTCAGCTGTTGATGGACACTGCTTCTACTTTGTGAGTAACGCTGCTGTGACTGTGTGCACGCGCACGTCTGTTCAAGTCTCTGCCTTGGATCCTGTGGGTGTACACCTAGGAATGGAATCACTGGCTCATGTGACTGCTATCTGTTTACCCTTTAAGAAGCTTCCAGTTCTCCAGTTAGCTGTACCAGGATACATTTCCACCAGCAATGAATGAGTGTCCATTGGTGGTGGTACAATTATTATTATTATTATTTAGAGACGGCCTCACTACATACCTGGGATTTTTTTTTTTTTTGCGGAACTGGGATTTTTTTTTAATTCATGCTTGGTAGGCAGGCACTCTACCACTTGAGCCACACCAACAGCCCTTTTTGTTTTACTGATGTTTTGACTAGGGTGGTGAATTTCTACTGACGTGGCCTGGACCACAAACCTCCTATTTATGCCTGTCGGTAGCTGGGATAACAGATGCATGCCACCGTGCCTAGTTTTTTTGTTGAGATTTTGAAATTCATTATTCACTAATTTTTTTTGCCCCAGCTGGCCTGGAACTGCAATCCACCCAATTTCTGCCTCCTGAGTAGCTGGGATTACAGATGTAAGCCACAGTGGTTGGCCTGGGAGTCCTTTTTTTCTTTTTCTTTTTAAATTGTAGCCACACAACTGGGCATGAGAACACACATCTGTAATCCCAGAGATGAAGAAAGGAGGATGGTGAGTTTGAGTTTGATGTCAGACTGGGCTACATAGCAAGTTCAAAGCCAGCTGAGCAATATAGTGAGACCCCGATTCAAACAGCAACAATAAAAGTCAATGGACCGTAGATGTATGGATTGATTTCTGGGTCTCAACTCTATTCTGCGAGTACCACGCTGTGCTGACTAAACTCTGTTTTGAACAATTACACTTGCTGCCTGGAGATGCTTAGGTTTCAAACTTACACCTAGGCTGGTGGCTCACACCTGTAATCCTAGCTACTCAGGAGGCATAGATCAGGAGGATCACAGTTCGAACCCAGCCCAGGCAAATAGTTCCTGAGACCCTATCGTAAAAAAAAAAAAAAAATCATATTAAAAAGCGCTGGTGGAGTGGCTCAAGGTGTAGGCCCTGAGTTCAAGCCCCAGTACCACCAAAAAAAAAAAAAAGTACATTAGGTCCCCAAATTATGATGTAATTTTTTATATTTAATGAATCATATTTTTGTTACATAAATTGAACAGCATATTAAATGTAAAAAAAGTAGAAACTTGCCTTCACGTTATCTAAAATTTCATTTGAAGTGAACTGTGTAACACAGTCTTTCATATTCTAAAGGTAGAGACATTTTTATTCAAAGTCAATCACTTCTTTGTCATATGCTATTCAAAAATGACAAAATTATTTCCAATTTCCTGGGAACATTTTGTGAGTCAAAAAGGATTATGAAGCCTACCCCCAACACAACCCCTCCCCTGAGAGTAGCAGCTTGCTCACCTCATAGTCAGGCAGGGCCCTGTTAATACAGCCTCTGTGCCCAAGTCATCCATGCCCTTCTCCTGGGCATGCCTTCTGGAGAGTGTCACAACCCACAGCAGTAGTTCTTCAACAGACAAGCCAGGCCTGGGCTGCTGCTAGAGGTGCAGAGATAACTGGATCAGGCTTTGTCCCAAGGGAACCCCTCAGAGCATAGCATGGTGTGATGACTGGTGGTAGAGAATACATAGCGCTGTGGGGGCCCAGGCTGGTGTCAAGAAGCCTTAACTCAGTGCAAGGGCAGAGAAGAGAAGCGATCTTGGAGTTGATGGACGAATAGAGCCCATTGAACTGAAGAGGTGTTCCAGCATCAGGAAAAGCCAGTGCAAAGGCCATGAGTATCCAAGATGGTAACATGTTGGGGACTGAGCCCAGGTCATTGGGGCTCCAAAGCATAGCTGACCTGGGGTATCATTGGCCCCATTTCTGTAAGAACCTCCACAGACCTGTTACCTCCAGGGTCTGGAGGACTGCCCACCATTGCCCATTTTTTTTCTCCTATTTTCTGAGAATGGCTAGGTGGGCATAATTCACTGAAAGCAAGGCCTGGTGGGCCTTCCCCAGCATGCGGAAGGGAGACGGGTCCAGTGGATCTTTCCTTTCATTCCCCACCCTGTCTGAGTCCACTGAGCTCTTGACAGGCACCTTGCTAGAGTTTTATCACCGTTCCCTGCAAACCCATGATTCACTGTCAAGTGTACCCACAAGAGATGTCCTCTACTCCTCCAGAGGCCGCCCAAATGAGGGAACTGTTAGGCCTTGAGCCAGGATATTGGGCTGCGGGCCAGCTCAGCCACCCACTCCAGGCAGCCTGAGGCAAGCAAGCCGCTTCTGTCTTCAGGACCAGGGGTTTTCCAGACAAAAATCGGCTGCATCCCTTTACTCTTAGGAACCTAGATTTTATGCAACCAACTGAGTCCCCAAACCTTCCTCTCTTATGGGTGGGTCTGCTTCCTGTCCCCAACCAGCTCCGATTTTTTTTGGAGGGGTGGGGTGGGGGTAGGGGGAGGCTGGGCTTGAACTCAGGGCCTCGCACATGCTAGGCAAGCGCTGTACCTCTGAGCCACACCCCAGCCCTCGCTGGGAATTTTTATGTCGTGGAACTTCTGCACTTGTTCTTCCCACGGCCTAGAGTCTTTTTTTCCTCCTCTCTCTGGCCCACTCCTAGTTGATCCCTCGCCAACCAACTCAACGCCACTGTCTCGGGAAAGCGGGGCCTCTTCGCAGCAGCCTCTTCCGCCTCCGTGCTTCTGTCACGCTGTGGGTGCGGTGCCGGGGTCCGCACGTCCGGGCTTGGAGCGCAGCCTGTCCCCGGGCGGGGTGAGGGTCCCCTAGGTTTGAACTGGGTCGGGCCGCGGCGGGTTAAGGAAGGCGGGCCCTGGAGGCCGCGCCTCCGGAGCGCACCAACACGCCGGGGGGAGGTGTCCCCCGGCCTCCGACCCCGCTCCCCGCTCATTACCCCTGACGGCAACAGAAGCCTCCTCTGGAGTAAAAGTTTTGGTGGGGCCGCCGCGGCGTGGACCCGGAGGCGGCTCCCCGCTACATCTGTGTCCAGCGCTGTCCCCTTCGCGTGCCCCTAGTACCACCTGGGGATTCCCCGTCGCTGCCATGACGTCACGGAGTCCCGCGCGGCCCCTCCCCGCCCGACCACGCCTTCCCGGGCGGGAGGTGAGCGGCTCGCGGGCGGGACACAGCGGCCATGGCCGGGCCCGGCGCCCCCTGCGCCCCCGCCGCCCGCTGGAAGCGCCACATTGTGCGGCAGCTGCGGCAGCGGGATCGTACGCAAAAAGCACTCTTCCTGGAGCTGGTGCCGGCCTGTGAGTGCGCCCCTGGGGCTTAGAAGATGGCCACGGAGGAGACGGGGCCCGAGGCGCGGGGAGAGGGTTTGTCCCGCTTGTCTGACTTGTGACCCAAGTACACCAGCGCCTTCTCGCTTCCGAGGCCTTGTGCCTTGAACCGCTTCCGACCGGCCAGATTCCTGCCCCTACCAACCGATGCTTTGCTTAGAACCCCCTCCTCTACCCCTCAAAGCTGAGCTCTGCCTTCCACAAGCTGGGCATCCTCGACACAAGTCGTCCCCCAATATTAGTTTTTCAGGATCTCTTGTGCCTCCCTCTCGGGCAGCCCCCAGAGTAGGGCCTTGTCAGTTCATTTGGTGCCTGTATACCAGTGAAGGCAGGCAGGCAGGCAGGCGTGTCCAGAGCAGCCACCTAGCCGATCCAAGGAAGTAGTGAAACTCTGAACCTCAGGCCCTGCCACCGATAGGTGAGTCTGGCGCAGGCTCATGGAGCACCTCTGTGCCCTGCAGAGCCCAGCTTAGGGAGATGGTTTCATCCAGGAAAGTCGCTTTGTCTCATACAGTTCTTCCTGGGCAGCTGGTCAGGCGAGGGAGTGGCAGTTCAAGACCGGATAAATAGGTGTGCAGCTGTGTGTAGGGCCTCTGGTTACCTGAGATTGTATGTTTGGGGTTGAAAGTTTAACCACCCTCCCTTCTTCACTGGGGCAAGGTTTGATGCATGCCCACAACCAAATCTGCTCTTATCCTGGGAAGTTTCTTTGCAGCCTTCCAGGGGTTGGTCCTCTCTGTTCAGGCTTAAAACCCTCCACCTCCAGGCAGCCTGCTTCTCCACTGCTGACGGATGGTGAACTATGCAAGTTTGAGGGAAAAGTCACTCCTCCCAACCCCACTCTGGGATCTGCAAGTCTGAGGGCCCGGAGAGACTCCGGAGGACTGAAACCCAAGAGACTATTCAGATAACAGACATCACTGTAGTTTGGGCAGTTTGTGTCTCTAAGCCGCAACTTTCTTACCTGTAAATCAGGCATAATGGGACCTTGTTTAGATTTCTTGTGGGTAGGGGGTGGGGAGGTAGCAGCAGTGGTGCACATTGGGGGCTCTGGTGAGGTTTTGTGTGAGAACTAGGTCAGACTCAGGGACCTCAGGCAAGGTGACAGGCAGAGCACCCTGTAAGGGAAGGGGTGAGGAGGTAGGCCTGGGTTTACCACCCCCAGTCTGCCCTGGAACTGGTAAGAAAAGAGGAAGTGACTGTGGATGGGGGTAGGGGGTATTCCAGGGTTAAACCACCAAATTTAAGATCTGTTGGATAACTGCTCAAAGACTTTCTATTCTGACCTGGGGGACTGTACTCTGGGGAAGTTAGGATTACTTTATTGCAAAATTACAGCCCTTGGAGGGGAAGTGAATTGCTGAAGGCCATAGGCAGGTGGAGTTTTTGTTTCTTATGCTTTGGAGCCAGGCCCTGCCCAGGGCAGGGATGAATCCACCCCAGGCTTCTTGCTTCCCTCAGGACCGCCAGCAGATCCTGTCCCCAACAGTAGTGGTCCTTCTTTCCCTGGGAGAACAGGCCCTCTTCTGGGTGGGCCTGGGGGCCAATGCTGTGAAGAGGACCCTCAGGCAAGGGGCAGAGCCCAGCTCCCAGTAGCTTCCTCATTCCTAGTGTTCTTGGGCACCTGCAGTCCTCCAGCCAGAGGTAACTTGTATGCTAGGGGTCTGCTGGAGAGTGTCTGCCTCAGGCTCACCCTCTTACACCCCAGATAACAGTCTCCTGGAGAAGGCTGAGCTGCTGGCTAAGTTCTCAGAGAAGCTGCAGCGAGGGCCAAACGATGTCATCTCCACCATCCACCAGAGCTCCTGGTGAGTTTATGCATCAATGGTCACAAGGGGCTGCTTGTGCCTGGTCCAGCCCACACTGCCTATGCTGGGTTCATTCTTGCCAGCTGCTTAGAATCTGCTTTCTCCCACCCTTCTCTCTGCATTTGCCCATCTTCCCCTCTCGATCTCACAATCCTGTCTTTCCCTTCTCAGTCTTTTTCCATCTCCCTGTCTTCCCTGATGCCTACAGAAAGGGTCTTGCTACCTATTCCAAAGAGGGAATGACAACAAGAGCCAGGAGTGGGTTGGGACCAGAATTAGCAGGTGCTTTTTTTTTTTTTTGAGATTGGGTTTCACTGTGTAGCCCAGGCCGGCCTCAAACCCATGATCCTCCTGCCTCTGCCTCTCAGTGCTGGGATTACAGGTGTGTACTACACCCAGCTGGCAGGTATTTCTTTAGGAGAGTCTTTGGCCAGGGAACCCAATGTCTGAGAATTCCTAGAGCCCAGGGGTAATGGACAGCTCATTTCTGAGACTTGCTCTTTCTTTGGCTTCCACCTTCCCCAGGAGAAAGTTAATGGCTCTTCAGACTTTTCATGGGGGTACCCATGGAGGGCCTTTGGGCACTGAAGTGAGTGGAGGGCCCATGAGCACCACTCTCTGATTGGTTGGCAGGGAGGAGTCAGGGCTCGATTCAGACCAAGTCTCATCACCAGCCACCCTGAGGGTGAAGTGGCAGGAGGAGAAGGAGGGTCTCCAGCTGGTCTGTGGTGAGGTAAGCTGGACCTGGTTTGAGAATGGGGCAGGGCCAGAATCCAGAATACTGGGGCAGGGGGATATGGTCAAGGAAGCTAGCAGGTGAGTGGTACCCAGTTTACTGCCTTCCCTGAGTCCACTGCTGCAGGCATTGAGTGACCCCCTGGTGTGTATTGGGCTCTGACTTGAAGCTAGGAAGGGGGTCAGAATGCCCTTGAGAGCCCAAGATGAAGTGGCTCCAACAGTGGCTAGAGAAAGGGAGGTGTGTAGGGCCTGGCAGCCTGTTCCCACTTCCAGATTGTTTAGCCTGCCCATTCTTCACCCCTTGCCCAGCCAAACCCAGGGCCAGCACCAGGTGATGCTCAGTATACACCTGCAGACTGAGGTTGATGTAGTCTATGGGCAGATGTGGTCCCTTCACCTGTCCCCTCCCTTTAAGATGAGGTGTTCTTGGAGTGTGGGTAGGCTCACTGGCTCCCACAACCTTAGGGATTTTCTTTTTTGCTGACTCCCAGACCCATCTCCAGTGCAGCCTTCTCCTCTGAGCTCTGGACTCTCTTGCTCAGTTGCTTCTTGGACATCACCTCTAAAATCACCATCTCCTCCATACTATGGAGGAGAACCACATTGACGTTGACTTCCTGTGGGCACAGGGCTAAGTATGATCTCTGTTAATTCTCCTCAGCTTTAAACTTGCTGAAGAGGAAACTGAGGCTTAGATTGAGCCTGGATTTGAACCTCCATCCACACAGATCCACTTTCTGTGATCTCCACTCTTTCTTTTTTTTTTTTGTGGTACTGGGGTTTGAACTCAGGGGCTGAGCCAATCCATCAGCCCTTTTTTTGTGTTGGGTATTTTTGAGATAGGGTCTCAACAGCTATTTGCCCAAGCTGGCCTCAAACAGATCCTCCTGATTTCTGCTTCCTGAGCAGCTAGGATTACAGACGTGAGTGAGCCACTGGTGCCCAGTGGTCTCCACTCAATTTTTTCAGTAACTATTTTTTGACAATTGCTATATCCAAAGAAATGGGAAGTGTAAGCCGAAAACAAGACCCCAGGGAGTTTCCATGGGAGGTGACTGAAGGGCCAGTAAGTACAGATCTAATTAAGGCAGGCCAAGTCACCTGCCAATATAAGAGTAGGGTTGGGTTATGAGTGCATTGGAGAGCCTCTCCTCCAGAGGCACTGTTGTGGTTGCAACTTGACAATGATGTGACATCATGTGTAGACTTGTGTCACCAACAGGATATGGCACTATTTCATCACCACAAGATCCCCTTCTTGCTACCCATTTTTAGTGACACTCCCTCCCCCCAACATCCCTAGCTCCTGGCAACCACTAATCTGTTTTCTACTTCTAACCATTTGGATTTTGAGAAGTATAAAAAAAAAAATACCCAATGGCATAACATAAATGAAAGCAAATGACAGGTGAGGAAGTTGAGGCGGTGGCTGGATTGCAGAGTGATTATGAATTGGGCCAACTAAAAAAGTAGGTGCCCACTTGCATGTGCACATCCCTTCCCAGGCCCCACACAGGGAGCTGTGCCAAGGCAAGTGGGCAGCTCCAACCTGGCTCCTCAATCCACCCTCATCAGGCCCCTGTGACAAAGAGCCAGGACAGGTTAGCAAAAAAAGTCCCCAGTGTCAGTGATTTTCTGGGCTAGAGGCCCTGAGTCTGTGGTTCTCACATTTCTTGCTACACTGGTGGGCACAGCTTTGCCTTGGGGTCCATCTCTCCCACTTTCACCAAAATGAAAGAGTTGGGCTTCATCCCTGTGGCCTCCCCAGCCCCTTTGTTCTCAGTTGCAGGAATGCTCAGAGGCAGGGGTCCAGAGATGACCCTTACCCCACTCCTGGCTCTGTCCAGGCAGCTCCGGGATTTAGTCTGGGCCTTGTATTCCAATTAGCCCTGTGTGCTTCTGCTGAGACCTGTGCTTGGGCAGGCCAGCAGTCAGGGTGGCACAGGAAGTCAGTAATTGGAGAGGTGTACAGAAGAGCTCACATCCTTGAACCTGTCCTGTAAACAATGAAGCATAATGCAGTTAGGTGGGCTGGGCTCATATATCATTTCTGTCACTCAGCTGTGTGACTTTGGGCAAGACATTCATCCTCTCTGTCGATGTTCTTATCTGTAAAACGAGAATGGCAGTGCTTCCCTTTGGTGCTAAAAGAGTTACTACGTGTACGGTGCTCAGAACAAAGCATTGCACATGTAAATGCTACATAAGCGTTTGCCATTGTTTGAAATATTCCTTGTAATAGTTCTGGGTTGTCCTGCAAGGTAAGCGCCCCCATCTCATTTTACAGGTGAGGAAACTGAGCAGATTCCTTTTGCTCAGAGGTTAAATAACTATCCCTGCGTCACAGAAAAGTGGCATCTCTAGGATTAAAACCGTGGGGTCAGACTCCAGATCCTAGGATCTTTCATTGTTCCAGGAAGTAGCAGTGCATCCATAAAAGATCGCACACTCGTCTAAGCCTCAGCTTGTCAGAAAGGGAGCAGCCGGTGGGGTGGCAGGCTCGGTGCCCAGCAGCCTCTTCTGCCCAAGAGGCTGGAGTGGGCCATACAAAGGCATCCAGGCCCACCTGCCCCTACCTTCTACCCCCCCCCCTCCTCCAGATGGCCTACCAGGTGGTGGAGAAGAACGCAGCCCTGGGCACCCTGCAGTCGGAGCTGGAGGAGCGGCAAGGCAGGTGAGACGTGGGCTGGGCTAGCGGGACTGTTCCCACCGCTGGGAAGCTCGGAGTCATCTCTATTCTAGGATGGAGAATATCCTGGGCCCAAGGGCTTTCCCCATGTCCCCACACTTCCCCTAGGCGTGTGGTTGGGATCAGAGGACGAGAACAGGGTGAAGGCTTGGCTGGACATCCGGCTTACCACCTGCCTGGCCGCGTGGCCATGGGGAAGTCTAGCTGGACTTTGAGGCTTGGGGCCTACCGCTCGCTCTCCCGACCCTCTAGGCTGGCAGCTCTGGAGGCTCGCGTGGCGCAGCTGCAGGAGACGCGCAGGCAGCAGGCCCTGCAGGTGGAGGAGCGACGGGAGCAGAACGCCGCGCAGCACGCAGCCTATGAGGCGCTGCGCGCGCACGCCGAGCACCGGGAGGCGGAACTGCGCAGGCTCCAGGAGGAGGCGCGCGACCTGCTGGAGCGGCTCGTGCAGCGCAAGGCGCGCGCCGCCGCCGAGCGCAACCTGCGCAATGAGCGCCGGGAGCGGTGAGGGAGCAGGGCTCCGCCCCCTGCAAGGAGGAATTTGGCTTTGCGGTGGTCAGAAGAGTGGGGGCCGAGACCTCCCCTTGGGGACCTGAAGCCGGGTCCGCCCCCCTTCTGAAGGCCGGACGTCTCGCTCCAACCTGGGTGCAAGGTGTCGCGTCCCGCCCTTAAGATGGTTTTCTCCCCAACAGGGCCAACCAGGCGCGGGTGTCCCAGGAGCTGAAGAAGGTTGCCAAGCGGACTGTGAGCATCAGCGAGTAAGAGTGGGAAGGGACCGGATCTGACCCTGCTATCCCTCCGCCCCTGCGGTCCCTCCGGCCCCACCCCCCACCTGTATATCGAAGTGCACTTGTGCACAGCTGCAGCTCGGGCCCCTCATAGGATACAGGCAGAGTTGTGTGGTCATAGAAGCCATCACGAGTGCCCTCTGGGCACCTCATCATTAGAAATTCAGGTCATCACCGTGTTGGATGCTAGGGCAGGGAGGGGCTGACCTGGTCCTTTGGTCTTCATTTCCTCTCCTAGGAGCTCAAACACTCCAGGCGATGGGATCAGGGAGGGGAAGGAGACTGTGGCCGTGGGCAGTGAGTCGGCATTCCTGGAGAGTGAGGGTTGTGAGAAATGGAAGAGGCCCTTCAGGTGAGGACCCAGGTGGCTGTCCAGAGCTCTGAGTTGGGTTCCACCCCAGAGGCTGTTACAGCCTTCCTCTAGGATCTTGGGGCCAGCTCTGGCGAGGGTGGGTGGACTTGGGGAGAGGCCCTGGGGTACAGTCCAAAGACTGATCTGACCTCCAGTACCTGGAGCCGGTTGGTGTCAGTGTGCCCTGACTTCTTTCCTTACCAAGACCAGAACGCTGAGGGTGGGGCATAAGTCATGGGAATAGGTGTCACCAAGCAGGAAACTGGTCAAGGCTGAGGCTGTGTGTGTCCACGTGGGGACGCAGGCACATGTGTGTACATTTGGTGAGCTTACCTGAGAGTGTGGATGAACGAATATGTGTAGAGTGTGCTCACACCGTGGAGAGAAGGACTTGAATCCTTTGGTATCCCTCCACTCAGTCCCCCATGTCTTGATTTGCCTGTCATTGAGGCTGCCCCTCCCAGCCCCATTCCTCAGTCTTTCCTTGTAGCTCTTGGTGTCCAGGCCCTGGGACAGTGAAGGAACCTTGGGGAGGGTCATGAGGGGCTGGTCCCCAAAGTTCTTGGCAGCCCCATTGGGCCATCTAAAACCTTTCTTGGGCATTTCTGGGGCTGCTCAGCAGGCCACTGCCCCAGTGTTGTGCTATCCCAGCTTGGGAGCACCGTCCTCCCCCTGTCCCATAGACCTTGGCTCAGCCTCTTAGGAGCTTTTGTTGGTGAACACTTGGCTGGTGAGGAAGTTCTTACCATCATGGTGGAGATTTGGGGAGATGTTCACCGCCAAGTCCCTCCACCTTCCTGGGTTAGTCTGGGTCACACTCCTCCTAGTCTTCAAGGAGTCAGTTCTTATTTCAGGCTTGAGAGGTCATGAGCCTCCAGGCCTCGAGCCAAGTGTAGGGATAAACAACTGCTGTTTGCACACCCACTGGTCATTCCCTTAGCGTGTCTTTCCCTTCTGCCCCAGGTCTGCCTCAGCCACCTCTCTGACACTGTCCCGCTGTGTGGATGTGGTGAAGGGGCTGCTGGAGTAAGTGTGTGTGCACATGTGTGTGAAGGGCTCAGGCCTGTTGGAGCCCCTGTCAGGCTTCCTGAGCCCAGGCTTGGTCTGTGTATGTAGCTCTGTCTGTTCATCTATGTGGTGCCTGATGTCTTGTGTGTGAGTCTCTGTTTGGCCCCTGAGACAGTAGCCCAACTCCTGCCCAACTACCTCCCAGGCTTACCTTGAGCCACTCCACCAGCCCTTTTTTGTGATGGTTTTTTTGAGATAGGGTCTCGTGAACTATTTGCCTGGGCTAGCCTTGAACTGTGATCCTCCTGATCTCTGCCTCCTGAGTAGCTAGGATTACAGGCGTGAGCCACCAGCTCCTGTTCTCATTGAAGGTCTTCTCAGGAACCCAAGAGCTCCATTCTGTGCTGGATGGGAACTCTGAATTCCTTTGGGAAGTGAGGCTCAGGACTGGCTAAGATTTGTTGAGTCACAGAGCCAAACAGTGGCAAGGTCAGGACTGAAACCCCAGTCCTGAGATTTCTCTATTCCCACCAACCCTGCCCCACTGCTGTGCTGTCTTTGTGAACTGCTCCCTCCCCCCTAAGCTCCACAGGGATCAGGCTGGGTTGGGGAACCTGCTCACACTCTACCTTAGGGTCATGTTCTGCCACCTGCTATGTCTGCTTCCTATTGTTGCTGCCTCAGGGGAGCTTGGAGCACTCATGTCAGAAGGTCCTGCTGAATTCCTTCTGACACCCCTACTCCTGCAGTTTCAAGAAGAGGAGAGGTCACTCAATTGGAGGTGCCCCCGAGCAGCGATATCAAAGCATCCCTGTGTGCGTGGCTGCCCGACTTCCTACCCATGCTCGGGATGTCTTGGTAAGGGAGGAGGTGGGCCATGTGTGTGGGGTAGTGATTTGGAAATGCAGATACCAGGGGTGGCCTGCTCAGGCCAGGGAAGCAAGGCCGAGCCTGAGCAGGAGCAGGAGTTTGCCTTCACAGCCTGTGGTGGGAGCCACGCAGGCATTTTTCAATGGGGCATGGGCTGGAGAGGGAGACAGCAGGTTGGGAGGGTAGGCTGCCCTGCAGGGCGTATGGTGTGGCACAGTGGAGAGGCTGCTTCAGGGGTCTGGGAAGAGCTGAGGAGACCTGCTGGTGCCAAGGTTGAAACTCAACGTTTGGACAGAGACCCGGGTAAGGATACCAAGCTAGCAAGCCAGTGAGAGCCAATGTGTGGACACAAAAGAGGCACTCATGGGGCAGACTGGAGTACTAATGTCCTCTTTCCCCACAGGATGCCCACCTCTCTGAGATCAATGCTGTTTGTTTTGGCCCCAACAGCAGCCTTGTGGCCACTGGTGGGGCTGATCGTCTTATCCATCTTTGGAATGTCGTGGGAGGTAGGGACCCTCCCTGGAGGCCAACCCAGTGCTTTCTCTGCAGACCCCATCCTCAGCTTGCTCCTGGGTGGGCCAAGGTCTTGAATGTCTTTGTGCTTCCCACCTGGAGTATTCCTGTGGGCAGTGGCTAGAGAACTCCTTGGCTCTGCTTGCTGCTCTGAAGAAGCATATGCAGCATCTGGGGTCCAGGCCTGCGGGGTGGGGAGGGCTGAGCTTAGATGGTCCCTGTGGGGAAGGTGAGGTCCAGTATCATGAGTTCTTACAGGGTCAGGCCTTGGAATAGCAAGTCCCTGGGACCACCAGGCCATCTCCTTTTCTAGCATCACTTGAGCCCCTAAAGCTCAGTGAGGTGACCTGGGGGAGTAGCTGAGTGGTAGAACACTTGCCTAGCATGTGAAAGCCCTGGGTTTGATCCCCAGCACTGAAAAAATAAAAACAAAAACAAACAATGGTGAGGAGACAAACACAGACTGTCTACTTTGTCCCGAGTTCTATACTCTGTAGGGGTGAGTTGGGGACTCTGCAACTCCTGGAGGCTTCCTAGAAGAGGCAGGTTTCCAGCTGGCCTGGTTCTACCTGCTATGTGACCTAGGGACAGTCCCTCCTCTCTGGTCCTCTCTATCCCTGTCTGTAAATGGTCTAGCTGCCACCTACCAGCAGTGGCACCTCTACCAGAAGTGAGTGGGCACTATCGGTTAGAGAAGGTGCAGCTTCTGGCCCAGGCCCAGGAGAGACCCAGCAATTCTGCCCTCTAACTCAGGAGAGACTGACCTCTCTACTCGTCTCAGTTCTGCTATTTCATGAGATTGGTGACCTCATTTTATCTGTTCCTTTCCCTGCTCCCCCCAGGTCGCCTAAAGGCCAACCAGACCCTTGAGGGAGCTGGTGGCAGCATCACTAGTGTGGACTTTGACCCCTCGGTGAGAACAATCAACACACTGGGTGGTTGGGGACCTGGGACCTGAGGGCACATCATGAGTGCCCTAGAAGTGAGTCCTTTGGCTGCTACACATACCCTCCTCCCTGGGCTTGAGGCTTCCTTGCTGTCCTTGGTGACCTGGGCACGAGAAGCTCTGAGGCAGTCTGCGCCACAGCTCTCTGGCCTAGAGATGTTGCTTCTGCCTGGCACAGACCCAGACCCTCCCCACTCATCTTTCCAGGGCGCTCAGGTTTTGGCATCTACTTACAACCAGGCCGCCCAGCTCTGGAACGTGGGGGAAGCACAGTCCAAGGTGAGGCCTTGACTGGGAGGCCAGGGATCAGGCCTCAGGACTGGGGAGGGGCGGCTATTATGGGGTCTTGGCCACGCCCTTGATCATATCTGGTATGGGGGGCAGGAGACACTGTCTGGACACAAGGACAAGGTAACAGCTGCCAAATTCAAGCTAACGAAGCACCAGGCGGTGACTGGGAGCCGAGACCGGACAGTGAAGGAATGGGACCTCGGCCGCGCCTACTGTGAGCCCCACTAGCCCAGGCTCAGGGGATCTCGTCACACTCTGGGATTCATTTCCATTGGGGGGATGAAACCCCCATAGACCCTTCTGTCCCCCTCACTGGTGCTCTGCCAGGTTTCTTGGTAACCTTGGCTTTCAGGCAGGTAAAGAAGAGGTGGACTGGGCCCTGGGTTGGGAAGACCTGGGTTCCAGTCTTGGGAAGACATTGTCCCCTCTGGACCTCAGTGACTCCACATGTCCAATGGGCTGGCTCCCGACAACTTTCTGAGACCCTGGGCTCTGCCCCTTGGTCCCCAGGTTCCAGGACCATCAACGTCGTTTCCTACTGTAATGACGTGGTATGTGGGGACCACATCATCATTAGTGGCCACAATGACCAGAAGATCCGGTTCTGGGACAGCAGGTGACAGGCATGGGCTGCCTGGGGGGTGGGGGAGGGGTTGTAGAAACCTGGGTCAGGGCCTTGGAGTTCTTGTTCCTTTCTTTGGCCATGGCAGGGAAGGTTGTGGTGGTATTTTGGGAAGTGAGGCCAAGGAGCTGGCACCATTGGCTGATGACCTCTGCTGGGCACAGTCCTTTGAGACTCAGCCTTCCTGGGATGCTACATCACCTTAGTGGCTCTCAGCCCAGCATTGACTGTGCTTGTACCCTTACAGCCAAGACGAAAACAAGCACCTTTTGCATTTCATTAACACTTTTTAATCAAAAGCAAAAAAACCTTTTAGTTGCTTTTTAAACCAAAGAGCCCAGCATTGGTGTGAGTGGTTTAAAAAGTATGGCTCAAGTGGTAGAGTGCCTGCCTAGCAACAGGACTAAGCCTTGAGTTCAAACCCTAGTACCCCCAATATTAAACAAACAAAAAGAAAACATAGCCAGAGCCACTGTTGGGCCTGCCCAGGCTCACACTTGCTGATCTGGTCTGCATGATTGACTTTTGAGACCTTTCCTTCTCTTCTGTTTTTAAGCTAGACTTTTCCCTATTTCTACTCCAGGGCTTATTTTAGTGATCTAAGGGTGTCCAGGACTCTGAAGTCAGTCTGCCGTAGTGCTGTGATGGAGGGATTGGCTGTAGTCGGGAGGAGGGAGAGTGGTCACTGTTGCTTCAGCCTCAGTGATCCAGGCCCTGGGAAAGCAGGTGCACCCAGCCCCTTGTGGGAGTGGCCTGGGGGTACAGGGGCAGTTCCTCACCCATCTTTGTTCCTGCTCCTCAGGGGACCCCGCTGTACCCAGATCATCCCTGTGCAGGGCCGGGTCACCTCCCTGAGCCTCAGCCATGACCAGCTGCATCTGCTCAGCTGTTCTCGTGATGATACACTCAAGATCATCGACCTGCGTGTTTTCAATATCCGCCAGGTGTTCAGGTACCAGCCTGGGGCAACTGGGTCTGCCTTCTCCTGTGTGAGGCCCTGTGGGGCCCTCCTTGACTGGCCTCTAGACCAGGACCTGCTGAAGTACCTGACTGCTTGACCAAGAGAAGACACTCTTGAAGTTCCTGGCTGGGGACAGGACTGGCACCCACCTCCATTCTGACCCCAGCTCTGTCTGTCCTCAGGGCTGATGGCTTCAAGTGTGGTTCTGACTGGACCAAAGCCGTGTTCAGGTGTGTTCATAAGAATGTGCCTGTGCCCATCTGGTTCTTGTTTGTGTGTCCTCATCTCTGAGCCTCTTTCTCATGCTCTGCTGTGGCCATTGCAGCCCTGACAGAAGCTATGCACTGGCAGGCTCCTGGGACGGAGCCCTTTACATCTGGGATGTAGACACTGGGAAGCTGGAGAGCAGCCTTCGGGGGCCCCACTGGTGAGCATGGTTACCACCTGCCTGCCCTGGCCCTAGTCCTGCCAAGCTGATAACAGGTTCTGACATGCCCCAAACCATCCACCTGCACCCTTGACCATTCTCACCACAGCCCTGGGAGCCCATTTAACAGATAAGGAAACGGGTTTAGAAAGGCACCTCGGGCTTTCCAGGTCCAATAGTGAGGGGCAGAGCCAGGCTGCAGACCCATTCTCGCTGACCCCTCCCCCCCCACACTCCCCCCACCCTGCCCCAAAACCTGTCCCTCTTTCTCCTCAGTGCTGCTGTCAATGCTGTGGCCTGGTGCTTCTCTGGGAGCCATGTGGTGAGCGTGGACCAGAGCAGGAAGGTTGTGCTCTGGCACTAGGGCCATGATACCCTCCCTTGGCTGGAGCTCTGGTCTGAAGGCTTAAACAGCTTCCCTCTAGTCCACAGGGTTCCAGAGTCAGCAGGGGTAGGGATGGAGGGCCTCCAGGTTTAAGGGGGAGGAAGGCCTGGCAGGACCTGGCCTGTTGGTTTAAATGCAAACGTGGGTTGGTGGGATTGTAGTTGTTTTTGTTATCTTTGTCTCCTTACTTCCTGTCCTTAAAGTGGAAAAAAACAAAATTATATTTAAATTGTGTCGGTTGTTTCTTTACAGCATTTGGGGGAATAAGGAGACCTTTGGGCTGGGGGCTTGGCCCCCTCCCCTCTGTACAGAACTGGGGCTGAGTAGTGCAGTGTCTGCCCTATCAGGAAAATGGGCTGTTCGAGTCTAACCATAGAACAGCATGAAGAAAGGCCCAGAGGCAGCAAAAAGCAACAGCTCTTGGGAATATGACCCTTGGTCCAACCTAATCCTGAGGCCAAACCAACACAGCGGGCTCTCTTGCTCAGGAACTCAGGATAGACTATGCCTGAGGAGGGACAGGGGGGTAAGCTAGGGATCCTGGCAGAAAGGATCCTAACAAACCAGAGGCATACCAGAGTAGTTGATACACCAGAGCTGCCTTTAGATTAGGGCCTGTTCTTTCCCCAAAGGCAGAGCCAGGACAGGGGAGGGCAACGGGGGCCAGGCCTGAGCTTGTGACTTCATTCACAGTGACACCAAATTTAATCCACACAATGAGCTTCTGAGTAGGAGGCAGAGCCAATTGAGCCTGGTACCTGGCACTTCTCCAATTTAGGGCCAGGCACAGGCCTGTGGAGACAAGTGTTGGTCAAATGGTAAAACCTGCACTGCTGGCTCCCAGATCACTTAACCCGGCCTGGTCTGGCAGGCCCCTCCGCTCTGGCTGTTATCCTCCTCTGTGTGGCCTGTGCTTCTCAGCACCAGATCATGGGACTGCTGTGCCATACACTCCATCCCTGGTGCCACTGTAGGCCACCTTCCAGACTGGCTCTCCCCTGGCTAGTAGTTCCCTCCTTGCCACAGTGGCTTTCTAAGGTGTCATGGTCACATGACCAACCCCTTGAAGTTCCTCTGCTGCCTTCAGAGAAATATACCACCTTTTGGGTGCCACCGTAAGCCTGCATCTGCCTTCCCTTGCTATTGTGGATGTGCTTGACACATGCTTTTCTCTTGGCTCTTGAAGGAGGCTAGGATGGGAACACACTATTCTCCCTGGGATCAGGCCTGGCTCAGAGGAGCTTCAGGAAATGTTTACTGAGTGGTTAAATTCTTTTTCAGGGACTCAATTCTAAGGTTCTAGGAGTCCAACATTCTTCCAATCTTAAGCCCTCTTAGGTCTGCCCCAGTCCTCCTGCCCTGACTCCTAATGGCCACCAGGGGTCACCAGCCAGTTTCCTGAGGCCTGCCTCCCTCCAGGGACTGGTGGCTGGAAGGACCAACAATCCTAGTGGATCATTAGGATATGTCAGCTCTGATTTGTACTCTGCTCTTGGCAGCTTCATTTGTGAAGGAGGTGCCATTTCTTCTATCAATGGAAAAAATGAGCTTTTTGGCATTGATATAATTCTTGGCAGCTTACGCCAGTAACATAGCAAACAAAGCAAGAATCTAGGAGGAAACTCAACAGGTTGTGTCAAGTTGTAGGATTTCAGGACAAATTTCAATTCTCTGCCTAAAATTTATGTCATTCAAGATCATACAGCTAGTGACACAAATGGATTGTGACTGCATCATACTCTTTTTCAACAAAATGTGACACTTCAGGCTCCCCGCTGGGTGGCTATAGGACTCCTCCCCTAGTGGTCCATGAGGGAGGATGTGATTCTAGCTTTGTGTCTAACCTGGCTCCCTCTCTGCATCTTCACTCTTCCATTCTGAACCGAGTGTGGAGAGTTAGTGTGTCTTGAAGTGAGGGACATGCAGGGACAGAGGAGTAAAAAATGTGAATCCTGGGAGATTCCATGTGGGGCAAGTCCCTTCTATTAAGTGTTTCTGTTGTACTTCACAGGATTGTAGTGACACTGTGCTTAGATGACCCAGGCAATGATGTGACCCACCCCTGGGGACAGCAGCTGCTTTGCTCCCCTGAATGATTCCTTCTACCTCTTGGGGACAAATGTGGCCACATATGTGGGGTGGTGTTGTCTCTTCTCAGTAGGGTTGTGTTAGTATGCTTCACGGAGGAAGAAGAGCCGAGGCGGAGTGGCCTGAAAGGCTTGCTCCCCTGGGCCTTTTCACCAGAGGGGCAAGAACAGAGTCCATGCTGAAAGCCCCTCCAGACTTACCTGGGTCACTGCTCTGGTAAACTTACTGGATTTAGTACTCAGGTGTTGAGGCACTGCCTCAGTTTGGGGTCCTACTCAAAGCTGGAATGGCCTGTGCCCTTGCTGTGCATGGACTACAGCTCACAGAGTGGGCAAGAGCTTGCTCAGGGTCACACAGCACAACTGGGTAAGGACTCAGACCTCTGATTCTTTTTGGGTGAAAATGGATTCAGGTTCTGCATAGTGGCTGGTTGGTGTTCTTGAGATCTAGGTTCAGTCTGTCTCTTGAAATATCTTGAGCAAGGCAGTGGCATCCAGGTTCTATGTCACCATTTGTAAAACTTTCAGACCCAAAGCTCTGTGCCCCCTAGAAGTGACACAGCTCTCCTAGGGGCTATTCTGTAGGTGTGAGTGCCACTGCCTGTCCAAACTCAGGCTTTAGTGAGCCTGACGCCTCAAGAAGAAATGACAAAAGCCCTTATTCTGGGACCCCACTGCCCCTTGGTCATCACCCAAGCCTGACTTGAATCTGTCTATTTTATTTTATTTTATTTTTGTGGGGGTTGTGGATGGGTCTGAACTCAGGGTTTTGCTCTGCTTATTTTGGTGATGGGGTTTTTGTGAACTATTTGCCTGGGCTGGCTTGAACTGTGATCCTCCTGATCTCAGCCTCCCAAATAGCTAGGATTACAGGCATAAGCCCTGGTAACTAGCTAGGAATCTTAGGCTTCCTGTTTTTGTTTTTGTTTCTTTTTGTGGTACTGGAGTTTGAATTCAGAGCCTCATGCTTACTAGGCCAGTGCTCTTCCATTTGAGCCTCTTCATCACCACACCCCTCCTTTTTTTTTTTTGTAATACCGGGTTTGAACTGAGGCCTATACCTTGACCTACTCTGCTAGCCTTTTTTTTTTTTTTTTTGCAGTACAGGGGTTTGAACTCAAGACCTACACATTGAGCTACACTGCTAGTCCTCTTTTGTGTTGAGTTGTTTTGAGACAGGGTCACTCAAACTATTTGCCCAGGCTGGCTTCAAACCATGATCCTCCTGAACTCTGCCTCCTGAGTAGCTAGGATTACAGTCATAAGCCACCGGCGCCTGGCAAGATGTCACTTTAATATCTACTTTTCCTTTCTCCTTTTTTTTTGGGTGGAACTGGGGTTTGAACTCAGGGCTTTGCACTTACAAAGCAGGTACTCTACCAGTAGAGCCACACCGCCAGTCCAGCTTTGTTTTCTTTCTTTCCCTTTTTTTATTTTTTGGGCTTCACATTACTAGGTAGGCACTCTACTGCTTAAGCCACCCTGTGGTGGTTTTTTTCGTGATAGGGTCTCCTGAACTATTTGCTTGGGTTGGCTTCAAACCACTATCCTCCTGATCTGTCTCCTGAGTAGCTAGGATTACAGGTGTGCACCACCAGTGCCCAGCATGGTCTGGAACTGTTGGTCTTCCTCCCTCAGCCTTCCAAGTGCTAGAATTACAGGCATGCACCACTAAGTCTAGCAAGAAACAACTTTTTTTTTTTTTTGGTGGTACTGGGGTTTGAACTCATGGCTCACCCTTGCTAGGCAGGTGCTCTACCACTTGAGCACTCTGCCAGTCCTTTTTATGTTGGGTCTCTTTAAGATAGGGTCTCTTGAACTATTTGCCTGGGCTGTCTTTGAACCCATGATCCTCCTGATCTCCACCTCCTGAGTAGCTAGGATTACAGGCATGAGTCATCAGTGCCTGGCAAGAAACAACTTTTTTTTTTCCCCACTTATTTATTTTTTATTTTTATTTTTTTATTGTGCTGGGGGTACACTGTGGCATTTACAAAAGTTCTTACAATTTATCAAATATATCATACTTGAATTCACCCCCTCCACTATTCTCCTTTAAGAAACAACCTCTTAACAAATGAAATAAATGCAAAGATTCAGAGCAGACAGATTTTGTCATAAGGCCACTTAGAGATGGCTGGGCAGTAAATGGAACCAAACCCAAAAGCTGTGGCTGTGCTCCTTGGGCAGTGAGTGACTAGCCTGGCATGGCACTGTGACTAGGGTATGAGATCTGCTTTGTCCCAGGGGATGAGTCCAGTGACTTGAATTTTCTTTTCAATGTCTTAGCATCCCAAGAAGTTCATATATGCCTGTTCTTAAATACTGTGACCTTTGTGTGATGTTCTCATGTAAAGAGTACATCTAGAATAACCGAACTGAACCAGAACAAGAGTTGGATAACCTTGGAAGTCACCTCATTCCATTCCCTTTAGAGTTGGCAGCTTGAGGGGAGAGGTGATTCATTAAGTAATGGCAGGGCTAAAGTCAGATGACTTGGTCTCTGGCTTGTGGATGTGGGCTGGGGTGGTGAGCTCAAAGATGAAGGGACCCAGATGATATGCTGTAATTCTGTTGCTGGACTGCATAGTTCCTGTGACGAAGGAGGCCAGCATTTAGCTATTACATTTGGTTGGGCAACTAGCTAAACTCTGCTCCTGGTTACACACTAGGCTTCATTAGACTTGAATGTGAACAGCTTTCACTGCAAGGAAGGCAGATGAAAATATTTTGTGTTTTGACAGTTCTTCCTAGATTTATGGCTTGGCACTTCATACACAGTTCTTCCCACAGGCCTCATGATACCCGAGCGTTACTGGGTGGCTAGAAGAATATCAAGGATCCCAGTTCTGATGTTGAGGACCCTGAAGGCGGAAGAGATGATGGTTTGTGGAGATGACCCTGTGCTACACACTTCCTATGTCCTTTCTGGACCTGTAGCCTTCTTCTTAGGTTCAGATGACAACACTGAGGATCAATCTCCATGGCTGTCAAGTAGCACAGCCAGGATTTAAACCAGACATTCTAACTCCCAAGTCCATGTTGTTGTTTCATACTTTGTTGGTGGAAATATAAATGAATGCAATTCTTTTGGAGACCAATTTGACAAAAATCTAACAAAAATAAACACACATACCTGACTCTCAAATCTCACACTTAGGAATTTACCCAAAATTTACACTGGAACACATTTATAAAGAAATATGTAATCCTAGCAGACATCAGGAGGATTGTGGTTTGAAGTCAGCCTGGGCAAATAGTTCATGAGACCCTATCTCAAAAATACCCAACACAAAAAGGGCTGGTGGAGTGGCTCAAGTGGTAGAGTGTCTGCTAGTAAGTGTGAGGCCCTGAGTTCAAACCCTAGTATCCCCCGCCAAAAAGAAAGAAGCCATAAAAAGCAGCCATTGAGCTAGGCAAGGATCAGTTTGAGGCTAGCTAGCTCAGGTAAAACAGTTTGCAAGATTTTGCAAGACCCCATCTCAACCAGTAAGAAGCTGGTCATGGTTGTGCCTGCCTGTCATCCCAGCTATGTGGGAAGCATAAATAGGATTATGGTCCAGGCCAGCCTGGGCTTAATTGTAAATCATATTTGAAAAGAACCTAAGTAAAAAAGGGCTGTCAGTATGGCTCAAGTGGTAGAGTGCCTGCCTAGCAAGCACAAAGCCCTGAGTTCAAACCCCAGTATTGCAAAACAAAACAAAAACAAAAAACAAAAAAACCCAGCCATGAAAAGAATGAGTAACAAAAACAAAAATATAAAATAAGTAAAAAGGATGACTTAAACTTGAATATGTTACATAACCCTACCTATATAAACAAGCAATGTGTACACTTACGAGTTTTACGCTCAGAAAAATGTTTGGAAGAGTATATACCATACATCCCTAGCTCTGGGAAAGAGGAGAGTTTGTGGAGCCCCTCCCCATAGACTGAACCTTAGTCTTCTGTGTGACTGGCTGGAAGCCAGAGGGACTCTGCCTCTAACCAGGAATCCTCTACTCACTTCTGGGATCTCCTTTCACACAATTCATTGCTCCTCAGGGTGGAGATTTAGGAAAGGGGAGAGGCATCCAGAATGACCACTTCCTGGAAGCCAGCAGTCACATCCTCTGAGGGGACTTCAGTGACCTTCCCCTAAATGTGAGCAAAATCAGAGCTCCCTCTTCAGCTCACCAGCATGCTGCGTCCCCTTTCTTGCGCACATCTTACAGTATGGGCCTCACATATGTATTTGTCATTTCTCTGCTCTGGGAAAGAACCTTGAAGGCAAAGACTATTACCTATTTATTTCTATCTCTGCTACCCAAGATATCATCCTGTTATAAGTGGTTTAAGGAGGGTCCAGGAGTGTTTTTGTAATAAGCCATTTTTTTAAAGCTTGTACAAGTCTTTTTTTCTTTTTTTTGGTGGTACTGGGGTTTGAACTCATGGTCTCACATGTGTTAGGAAGGTGTTCTACCACTTGAGCCACTCCACCAGTTATAAGTCTTTTTATAAATACACTTGGAAAACTTATTTCCATTTTTTTATTATTCAACATTTTATACATAATAAATACAAACTTTTTACACCCACTGTAAAGAAAGCACATCTGGACAGAGGCTCTCTCTGAGCCTGCCCTGTGCATGGTGACACTGGGTTATATAGCCTGGAGGGAGGGGTTATTTTTTAAAAAGGATGAATATTTTTACAACTTTGTTTTTTAAAATAAAATTAGCAGCTCTTCCAAAAAATATGTTAAAATATAACAAAATATTTCAAATAACTCTCTGAGGTTATGGAAAACCCAAATTTAAGGACAATTTGGCTAGCTAAAGAGAGAATACAAGACTGGGTGGCAAGAACTGCTCTATTTAATAAGGTCTTTGAAAATATGGAATATGGGCAAATTTTAAATCTTAAAAAAGCCACCCTTTAGTTTTTAAACTTAAGAATAAGTTTGATAAACATAAAAAGACCTCAAATAGATCAACAGGTTAAGAAATGCAAAACACAAAAACAAAATCCAAAATCTTGGAGAAGATTCATCAAGGGATATAGTCACTGAAGTGATCAAGTAATTAACTGAAAATTTCTTCAGCTTAGACCTTACTTTTGGTCAAAAATCCCATGGGGACATTAGGTGAGCATTTCAAATTTATAAAGATTCTTAGAGGAATGGAATTTTCAAAGTGTAATACAACTTTTGGATTAAATTCTGTAAATTTGATCTCCTAACAAAAATAAAAGAACTGGCAAACATCCCTTTGTTCCTAGGTAATGCACTCCCTACCTTCCACGGAGTGGACAGCCAGAGCTCATTCTGGGCCCTGCTGCTATAGGCCACCAAGATCGATTGCCCTGGCTTTCCTGCGGTGTCAGAAGGTGCTCGTCTTATCCTTATCCATCTCACTTGTGCAGGTGTGCAATCCTCAGTCCTTTTTCATAGGAAGCTGGTTTCCTTCATGGAAATGAAGGTTCTTCCTCCCAAGGAGATGTCAGGGCAGTGAGACCTGAAGCTGTATTTTCCACGGGTGACAGTTGGTCTGCACCAACCACAGTCCAGCTGTCAGAGCTAGCACACTGGCTTAGGAATAAAATAATGCTAGGCCTCCTGAGTAGAGAAGCTCAGCAATGTAAGCATGTGTCCTCAGTTTGTCAGACATTCAGGTTCTAAGGATACTGGTCAGTGAGTATATGCTGTACAAACTAAGATGAAAAAATACCCAAAGACAAAAACAACATTAACCCAGCTCATTTCAGGACTGGAAGCTCCATTTCTGCTTTAGCCACAGCCTCCTATTAGTCTATGTGATGGGCAAGATGTGGCTATTCATTCAGCCCCTCCAGGTTAGCCCCACTAACACTAAATGAATGACATAAATATTAATACAAGGGCACTGTTATCATTTTAAATCTGTTAGTTGTAGAGGAGATGTGCGTTAATGCGAATGGCGCTAAACTCAGGGCAGTCCACTTTCTTCTGGTAAGGATTCATTTTCAGTCTGGGGTTGGGGAGGAGCCAGCCTCTCCCAAAACCCTCCATCTATTTCCTTGTGTAGCCGACATGATCTGATTAACACTTAATCAGATGAGCAAAAGCCACTTGAAGAAAGACGAGATCTTTGCCACATCCTTGTGGCCACAGTAATATACTGTACGAATGCACATGACCAGCAATTCTGTGACTGTGCCCTGGAATGGGGCAGGATTCTGAGTCTCATATAAAAATGGGCCACTTTTAGGCTACAAGGGCTGCTCCCCTCTTTGCTTCAAGGACCCTCTAGGATTTGTGCTATGGTAGGAGAGATGATGTAGAAAATGACAACAAAAAAAGGCACAAAAGATTCAAAAGTGGGAGGAGTTCACCAGGCCACCCAGTCACATAGAATCCTTCTTGATTTTGCTCTGTTCAGAGTCATCATCATGCAAAGGTGCCTAAAACACAAGACTGGCCAAACTCCAAGCCTGGCCTTGATTGTAGGAGTAACGGAGGGCAAAACTGTCGTCACACCAGCGTGATCTCCACATCCTCCATCTTCTCTGCTGGTCTCCGGTGGTTCTGCGTGGGTGGAGGGGGAGCTGCCCGGACCTGAGCAGGAGGCAATGATATGGGTTGACAGTCAGCTTCCTGACTCAGAGCCTGGAGCATCCACAAACCCCAGTCTTCAAGGAGAAGGGCACCCAAGGATCTCAGGAATGCTTTGAGCATGCAGTTCCATACATCTTTACTGTTTCCTACCCTGAGAAGCAGGTGCTGTTCCAGTTGAAATGTCAATCCCACAAATCAGATTACTGCCTAGGCTGAAAGCCTCATGGGCACAAGAGTTGCTGGGTCCCTAAAGCCCTTCCAAAGCAAAGCCCTGGAGTTGGCAGCAAGATGGCAAAGCATGGAAAATGGAAACATACTGGCATGTACTGAAGGAGAGCTGAAGGAGTTAGAAGGCTGGAGGGGTGGGCTGGGCGAGCTGTGTAGTGCCTTGTTAAGTCACACTTTACTCTGTAGACAATGAGGTCTTTGGTGGGTTGTAATAAGTATCAGATGTAAACAATGAGTCAGACAAGAATTTGGAGAAGACACAGAGTGGGGAAGATGATTTAGGAGACTTTTTGTCATCTGAACTGGGTTCCAGGAGTGGGGAAGCAGCAGTAAAAAGCTTAGAGAGCTATCTCCCAGGTAAACCTAGCGGATCTGTGGTGACTGGGAGGTGGGCGGGGAATGGGGAATGATGCCAGAGCGCTGGGAGAGGGGCTGTCACTCACCAGAAAGGCAACACAGGAGGAGCGTGCTGGGAGGGAAGATACCTCCCTTGGCTGTTTGGAGACCAGGACATGTAAGATGAGGTGGCCACAAGTCTGAAGTTTATAAATCTAATTTACAAATATAAATGGTTCTCACAGCCATGAGACTAGATGAGGTTGCTTGGGAGCATGTGTTCAGTAACTTGAAGAGAAGCAGTGCAGGGTTAGAGCCGTAAGGACTATCAGCAAAGACAGAGGCAGAGAAGCCTGCGAAGGTCCATGAGAAGGAAGGCCATAGAGGTAGATGTAAGCCAGGGAAGTGTGGTGAAATAAGCAAATTAGCCTCCTTCACTGCAGTCCCTCTTCTCCGACAGCCCATGCTACCACTGTCGCTTGCTTAGACCACTGTCCCAGCCTCCTAATGGCTTCTCATGTCTGTTCTGCCACTTTCCATTATTCTCTACTTAGAAGATACAGCAATGCATGTGTGTGTGTGCACATATTTAAGGGATAGGGTCTCATTGTGTAGTCCAGGCTAGCCTTGAACTTGCAATCTTCCTGCCTCAGTCTTCCAAATGCTGGAATTACAGGTGCACACCATTACATCTGGCCAGTAGTAATGTTCTAAAAATGCAAAAGCAATTATAACACTGTCCTGCTTACCACCTTGCAATGGCTTCCTAGCACATTTAAAATAAAAACCCCAGCTCCTAACAAGTCCTTCAAACGAACATCTGCTTAATCAGTGAAACCGGTGGTTTAAGGAATTAAGGACTGAATTGTTGATAAAGGGCCAAAGAAAATAAAACTACAAAGTATCCACTGCGTTACCAGTATGAAAGTTATGGCCTTGGAGTGTAGTGGAGGGGTGGAATTGAGATGGCAAAAGAGTAACACAGTAACTGTTTGTCAGAATATATTCTCCTTGAGAACAGAAAGTTTTTGAGGCTATATCTTATTATTTCATTTTAATGTCCCTCAAAGAGGCAAATATAGGCCAGAAATAGGTTTTTAATAAATTTTTGCTTAAAAAATTGCTTTTGTTTCATAATTATACCACTTTAATGTTCATATCTCTTGTTACAATTTCAATACTCCTGCAGAGCAATCATCTTGTGATCTTACTATGGTTCAGTGAGAAAACTGAAATGAGTTGATTAGATGAGTCAACTTTATACGCTTCCTTTTCAATACTTTTTTTTTGGTGTTTGAAGACAAGAGTTTTCATTTGCAAAGCAGGTGCTCTACTGCCACACCTCCAGTCCATTCTGGTTATTTTGGAGTAGGTTCTTGAGAACTATTTGCCTGGGCTGGCCTTGAACCATGTTCCTCCTGATCTCAGCCTCCCAAGTAGCTAGGACTACATATATGAGCCACTGGTCCCCAGATCAAAAATTGCTCTTTTTATCTTCCTGAACCCTTGCCCAGCAGAATCAGTAACACAGAAGCTATGGGAAAAATTACTTATGCGATCTATAATTCTTCCAGCTAGGAGACTTACTGGTCGCAGTTTGCCGTATGAGGTCTCAGGAGTCTGCCTTGACACCTGTGAGAATCCTGGTGATTCAGCATGGAGGCTGTTTTCTAAGGAGAGAACCAAAGAGGCTCAATATATTTCTTTTGTTGAGCAATAAAAAAAATGCTAATGCAGATCTGTTTGTCCTTCAGGTAAACAGGTTGATTTCTGAAGTGAACGTGCATTCAGACTATTGCCCAGAAGAACTCTCACCATTTGCTGAAGGAGACCGGGGGAAGAACTGGGAGCTCCTCTTATCTGGGCTGGGGTAAGGGCTGCTGGGAGGCTGGTCGTACAATGGCAGTGGAGGCAGGGAGGCGTGCGGCTTGGGAGAAGGAGAGATCTGCAGCAAGGGGGAAGGAGAGATCTGCAGCAAGGGAAGGCAGTCGCCCCTCAGCACAAGTTCCTCTTCTCTGGATCTAACTTAAAACTGTTACAAGCAAATGGGCCTAAAATATCTACCCCAACTCCATTTTTATGTTACACTTAACATTTCCCTCTCACAGACCTCATTATGTTACTGATTTTAGTATCTTAAACAGTTACCAAGTCAAACCATTCTCTAGGGTTCTTCTATATGGCAATGTAACAAAATTGATCAATTCAGTGAAGAACAAAATGCAGACAAGTTGTATCCTGTGTGTGAATGTGAAGGAAAAATATCTCGCTGAGTTTTTGACTTCCCTAGGTTTTCTACATGTCAGGCTAAGTGGTCACAATTACCATGCCTACAAAATTGGCAAACACGTTCCTTATTCCTCCAACTGCCATATCTGCTGTGACACATGTCCCTATGAGGAGGTGTGAAGCCTAGGGCACTTGAGTGTGGGGTGGGGCTGTCACAGTGAGGGCACAGGAGTCAGCTAAGAGCTGTACTACATAAATAACCAGAGACAATACATTCCCCTCATCCCACCCCAGCGTTGTTTCCTTCTTTCCACAAAACCAATCTTTCATGTGTTATATACAATACAGTATTTTGGAAATGGATTCGGGAACAGAATGTGGGAGAATGGGTATATAATATGGTCATATCCTACAAGGGCCTAACTAACAAGTCTCTGGTTTCCTAGCAACAAAGGATCAAATGAAGAGGGTGAGGCAGAGTACAGCCCACTTTTGCCTGGATCAACAGGATTAATTTTTTTTAACCATCTTCTAATTCAGCTTTCTCCCTCCTCTCACGTACCTGAATCTCTCTCATCCATGGAGTGTCACCATTCTCTGAGGCTGAAAGTTCTTCTACCAGCACCGATGGGAAAACTCCAATCCGGCCACTGAATTCCCCTTCCCAGAAGCCATCATCATCTTGGTTTTCTTTGTTCAAGATACGGATGATTGCTCCCTCAGGAAAAGACAACTCATCATCTGTCTGGCCCTCATAATCATAAAGTGCTTTCACGAAACAGACTGGGGAGCAAGAGAAAGACAAATCTGGTAAGAATACAGCTGGACTGCTTTGTAACCACCCCTGTGCTCCCATGATAACCAAACAGCATCACACAGGCTGAGTAATGTTGGAATGTAAAGCTGCAATGTTTTAATGAACTGAAGATCAATTTTATGGTTCTACTGTACAGAACTAATTATAATTAACTAATTAACCTCCCAGATAATACAGTTTATGTCAAATATGACCAAATAAAGAGTGCCTTATGTCAGTCTTTACCACTGGCATCTCCGTTGAGGCTGCCTGGAACGAGCTCTGCCTCCGTGGAATTGCTCGACGTGTGTGACCGACTGTCCAAAGCAGCCAAGGACTGCAGCATGCTTAGCAGGCTGTTCGAGGTGGGAAATTGTAGGTACTTTTCTGGTACATAACCCACTTGGCCAACTTTATTTCGAGCCTGGGTAAAAGACACATGACAAAACAGGTTTGCACACACAATTTGGACAGTGTAAAACAAGAACCAAAACGAACTCCTAAAAATGTCACAAGAAGGGGTGATATGAGCAAAGGAATATACCTTTACCCAGTCTTCCATATCTCCATCTTCAATCACTTCTAACACCTCATGTTCCTCAATGGTCAACTCATCTGGTTGAGAAGCCTGCAATGTAGGATGGTCATGGACAAAATTAAAAAGGTTAGATAAAGAGCAGATGTGAGCTGGACGTAACAAAAACTGGGGATCGGCATATTAAAATGATTTTGAGAAACATAAAAATTTTTATGTGGTAAAACTATCATAATGAGGTGAAGTTTTATTTTGAAGAACTAAACAAAATAAAATTGCAACAAAAACTGGATCCTCAAGAGACGATCAGGGTCAGTGAGCAGAGCACCGTGCTGGATACAGAGGACCCAGCACCACTCAGGCTGTGTATCTACTGGTAAATTACTCAACTTGATGCATCCATTTCTTCAAATTGACAGTCCTGCCATTCTCTGAGGATGGGGAGTCAACGTGGGATGAATAAGCACAGAACCATGATCTGGGAAGAACAGGCAGAGAAGGCATTGGAATGGATTGCTGTAAGAGCTACCATGGCGGTGCATGCAGTGAAAATGCAGAGAACTATGCACATGGATTAGATGTTAGCTTGAGCAGTGCCTAGGATTGAAGAAAATTGTGAGAAAAGCAATGACTGAGATTGGTCAAGGTTTGGATTCTCCTCCAACTTGTGTGTGGAAACCTGCTGATCCTCTTAGGTGCTTTTGCACAAGCTGGGATGGTTTTAGTCTACCCCGCCCCAGCATTAGCCACCAGATTTGCCCTCAAAACTGCAAGACCTGAGAAGAGACTCACAGAAGGGCTAAAAACTCTGTCAATGCTTCCTTGAGAGCCTTGCCTGTCACATGTAAAAGACAGGGGCTTACTGGCATCTTTTGGCTCTCTAATAAACAGCCTTAAAGGCTTTTCCCAAGACCAGTTAAAACTATCACCTGAGACCATACAGATTTACAAATCTCATAATCTCAAACTGTAGAATATCTCCAAGTTATAAAGGCAAAAAAACAGTCTAAGACCTAGTTTTCATTTCCGAAATATTAAAACATTTAATCAAAACTCAGATTCTGGATGATTCATTAGACAAAAATAGTATTGAAGGGCTGGGTGTGGTGGCTCATGGAGACTGGGAGGATTGCAGTTCAAGGCCAGCCCAGGCAAAAAGTTCTTGAGATCCCCATCTCAATCAATGGCTGGGTGTGATGGTGTGTGTGTGTGTGCCTGTCACCCCAGCTATGTGAGGAAGCATCAATAGTAGGATTGTGGTCCAGGCCTGCTTAGACATAAAGTGAGACCCATATCTCAACAAATAAGCTGGGAACGGTGGTGTGTGCCTGTGATCCTAGCTGTGTGGATGGTTGTAGATAGGAGGATCAAGGTCTGAGGCTGGTCCTTAGCAAAAAATGCAAGACCCTAAGTGAAAAGTATGTAAAGCAAAAAAGGGCTGCGGGCATGGCTCAAGTAGTAGAGCACCTGCCTAGCAAGTGTGAGACCCTGAGTTCAAACCCAAGTATTGCCCCCCAAAATAATATTGATGATAGATGGCCAAAAATACGCCAGGACCAGATTTTAAGTAAAGTATCTATGACATCAAAATATGAAGAAAAAACCCCATTCACTTTTTCTTTGGTATTCTGAAAGCACACTGTGTGCTGGGTGTGGTGGTGCATGCCTGTAATCCCAGCACTCAGGAAGCTAAGGCAACAAAACTAAACTAAATGACAATGACAACCAACCAAGCAAAAAACCCACAAAGCACACTATGCCTTGAACATATGAGCAAAAGGCATTCCCCACCCCACCCCCAAGTAGGGTTTTGAACTCTGGGCCATGCACTTGCTTGGCAGATGCTCTACCACTTGAGCTACACCTTCACCCCTTTTTTGTTTTAGTTATTTTTCAATAACTCAAGTTTTTGAGACTGTGATCCTCCTTACCTATGCCTCCTACATAGCTGGGATCACAGACATGCCCAACTAAAAGACACCTTTGTGATAAAGACATTTTCCTAATTACATAACAAGACCTAAGAGTGTCCACACAAACAGACTTTAATCTGTGTGACAGCAAAGAAGGACAGAGCATCTTTAAATATATTGCTGCCTCTGTGAATAAGTCACAGAGGTCCATGTAAGTTGTCCAGCCCTATAGCATGTGCACCATCCACACACGCTGATGACCATTTTTTTCACTTAATAAGGTCAAGTTTTGCTTGGCACTCAAGACCTAAGACTTAGGTTTCCAAGAGCCTCTGGAAACTGGACCAGCACACTCCCGTGTTCTCCGAGGACGCCCTGTTCCTCCTTGCCTCTGTGCTCTCCTGAGTGTTCCTTCTGTGCAGTGTGATCTGCTGAATGGGCTGCACTGCTGTGGGTGGAAGTTCAGTGCTAGTCTGTTTCTATGGGCCAGTGATCACAGGATGTCTTTGAGTTTCAGTTTTCTTTTTCTTTTTTCCTACTAGAATACAAGCTCCAGGAAAACAGAGATTCCTGTTTTGATCAAAGCTACATTTCAGAACCTAGAAAAGAGCACAGTTGCTACATGGAGGTGCTCATATAATATTTGTTGAGAGTACGTGCTGTTCGATAATCTCTTCCTTATAGGTTTACTGAAGAAATCAGAATTATTATTAGAATAATATCTATTATTATTGCTTTGGACAAAATACCTTCCCTGACCACCTCTATCATGAAGTAGCTGCTTCCTCCTCCTTTTGTTCCTGTAAGACCTTGCACAACCCTGTAATACTGACTTCCGAGGCACTAGGTTGTCTGTCCTTGTGGGCTTCCCACCAGAATGATTTACTTAAGGCAGACACTGCATTTCTTCTCATCCCAACAATGGATAGCAAGTAGTCAGTGTGAGACACAGGTCTCAGACTGTCTCCATAAGTCCTAATATACAGTGGCAGCTACACGTCCATTTCCACCTATACCTTTCCAAATTTCTTGTATTTTATTTTGAGACAATATGTTTTTCCTGAACTTAAAAGTAGTAATATTCATTGTATACTGCTGAAAAATATTCATAATTGACATCTTTGAGTAACATATAATTTGATATCCTGATTTGACATTTATAATTTACGTTTTTTTTTTTTTTAATGGTGGTACTGGAGATTGAACCCAGAGCTTTGTACATGCTAGGCAAGTGTGCTACTGCTAGAGCCACACCCTCCAGCCCTTTTTTGTTTTCTTGAGACAGGGTCTCCTTATGTAGTTCAGGCTGGCCTTTAATTTTTTTTTGGTGGTACGAGAGTTTGAACTCAAGAGCATCATGCTTGCTAGGCAGGCACTCTACCACTTAAGCCACTCCACCAGCCCTCAGGCTGATCTTGAACTCACAATATTTCGCTTTGGCCTCTCAAGTTCTGGGATTACAGGTACCTGCAACCATGCCCTCCTAGTGTTTCTTTTATAAAAAACTCATTACTAAGGTAAATTTCAATAATCTTCACAGTAATGTTGTATGTTATGGTATGTTACAGGTATGACTAATTAATTATTCAATTCTTGAACTGTTAATGTTGAGCTATTATAAAGTATATTAGAATGAAAGAACATATGTATCTACAACATTTTCTATACTATGGTTAATTTCCTTAGGGTAGATGTTAATATGGTTAAAAGTTATGAGTATTTTTAAGGCTTTGGAATCTAAGCATTATATATAGCTTTTCTTTGTTCTCACCAGGTTAATTTACACTTTTTTTTTTGTTGGACTGAACCACAGGAATCATGATTTGGCTTAAAGTCTCTTAATTCTAACTTATCATCTTGGGTGTCTACACTATAACCAGGGTTACTTCTTCAAAGTCCTATCTGATTTTAGTGGCTCCTCTTAGGCAAGAGGAAATACAAACTTCTGAGCCTAGTACTCCAGGTCCTTACCGTCTGACAGCAAATACTTTATGTCTGCTGCTCTGTCCCCTCTCTCAGTGCTCCATACCACCAAAGGCAACCTGCCCTAAACACCCATACTCTTACCACACTGTTTCTGAAACCTCTGTTCCCTGCTTAGGAGGTTCCTTTCTCTCCTCACTGTATCTAGAAGGACCTTATTTGCAACTTAAGTTAAATGCCACCTCATCTGTAAAATTCCAGACTATCACAGGAAGAATCAGTGGCTTTACCGTTACTATAAATCTTTTCATACATGTTCTATTTTTTCAGTGTAATATCCACCCCCTCCTCTAAGACTACTCATTCCTGGAGTGTAGGGATAACATTATATCCATTCTTGATTTTCAAAAGTAACTACATATTGGGCACCCAATAAATGTTTATTCAATGATTAACTATATAGGTTTTTTTTTTTTTTTTTTTTTTGCAGTACTGGGTATTGAACCCAAGTGCCTTACACATGTTAGGCAAGTGCTTCATCAATGAGCTTACTTTCCAGTCCCTAAATAGATTTTTATAGTCTGGTTTACCATAGGGACATACCTGTAATATACCAATGGAGGGAATGTCGGATGAATGTGAGGCTGTTTAAAATCATTCAGATTCAGACCCTCTTCATTTTAGTATGTTAAGTCTTACTTCTAGAACTTTCCACTAAATATAACCATGAGAAGTGATATCAGGAAAGAATTTCCATGGTTTTATAATAACCCTGTAAGATCTTTCCAAGTTATTTTAGAAAATGATTTCAAATTTTAAAAATAATTTACATTGGGCTGGGCATGGTGGCTCATAACTGTAATCCTAGCTATTTAAGAGGCTAAGATGTGGTTCAAGGCCAGCTTGGAGACCCCATCTCCAAAACAGAGCAAAATGTACTGGATGTATGGCTCAAGCAGAAGAATGCCTGGTTTGCAAGCACCAAACCCTGAGTTTAAAACTCCATTCCTAACAAAAATAATTTATGTTGGGAAAAAAATTCTACTCCTTTTAGAAAACAGGAAGTATTATGTATTTAAGTATCATGAAAAGATATTAAACTCAAAAAAAGTCTCAGAATCACTGATGTTGAGGAGTATATATTGCCAAGTTTTGGGTAGCAGGGCTGGTGGTGGTAGGAGTGTAGGACACTTGGAAGATTCTCTCTAGAATTTCCCCCTGCAATCCTTTAGCCTCATTCTTTCCTACTGGTGTTACTATCAGGATAGTGGCCAAAGAAGAGCTCATTTGTTTACACCATCCTTAAATCATGCACTTATTCATTCTACAATTATTTACTGAAGACCTACTATGTGCCAGGCACTGTCCCAGGTGAAGACACACACACAAGGTACACAGACACCAAGTTTCTGCTTTCATGAACCTCCAGAGGGGATCCAAAAAAATATGAACAGCATTTGGCCGTTCATAATGTTACAAAGTTATGTGCTTCATGATGATATATTGGAGGCTGAAGGTGTGGCTCAACTGTAGAGAGCCTGCTTAGCAAGCACAATGATTTGAGTTCAAACCCCAGTATCACAAAAAAAAAAGAAAGAAAAAAAGAAAAAATGATGACATGTTGATCAACAATGGACTGCCCATATGCAGCAGTCCTATAAAATTAGGGGATGAAAAATTCCTGCCATCTAATGACCCTGTAGCCATCACGACATCATAGCATAACAAATTATTCACGCTTGTGGTGATGCTGGTGTAGACAAACCTTCTGTGCTGCCAGTCATATAAGAGTATATGTATACAATTATGTACCGAACATAAAACTTGGTAATAAATGACTCTGCTACTGGTTTATGTATTTACAGCATATATATTAGGGTATACTTCTATTTATAAAAAAAAGTTTTATAATGTGAAAACATAATGCTGATGGACAGCAGCCTCATTATACATCTCATGTTTACTGCATCTCAATCTCTTTCTTTTTTTTTTTTTAATTACGGAACTGGGGATTAAACTCAGGGCCTACACCTTGACCCACTCCACCAGCCTTTTTTTTTGTGTGTGTGTGTGATGGGTTTGTTTGAGATAGGGTCTCGAGATCTATTTGCCCGGGCTGGCTTTGAACTGCAAGCCTCCTGATCTCTGCCTCCTGAGTAGCTAGGATTTCAGGTGAGAGCCACCAATCTCTGGTTTACTGCATCCCTTGATTGCACTGTTCTCTCTTGTGCTTGATTTCATCTCACGTTGCTTTGTTCAATAAAGGCAACAGAAGGCAGGCAGAATGGCTCAAGTGGTAGAGCTCCTGCCTAGCAAGTGTGAGGCCCTGCATTCAAATCCCAACACTGCCAATAAATAAATAAATAAATAGGGCAACAGGACAGAACAGTGACTGAGAGGAGTTGGCTGTGTTTAGGTGGCTAGGGATGACCTCAGGAGGCACTATTTGAGCTGAGCGCCAATGAAGAGATTTAGGCTGGGTGCCAATGGCTCACACCTGTAACCCTAGTTACTTGGGAGGCTGAGATTGGGAGAATCGTGGTTCAAGGCCAGCCTAGGCAAACAGTTCATGAGACTTCAGCTACAAAATAACCAGAGAAAAAGGGACTAGAGGTGTGGCTCAAGTGGTAGAGCCCCTGCTTTGCAAGCATGAAGCCTTGAGTTCAAACCCCAGTCCCATGAGAGGAAGCGGGGGGGGGAGAAAAGAGAGAGAGAGAGAGAGAAGTAGGTAGCCAACTGAAATTTGGGGAAACAGAGTTCTAGGCAGAAGTAACAGCAAGTACAAACATGTGTGGTCAGGAAGGAGCCTGGTGCTCTTGGAGACTGAAAGGCAGCCAGAGTGGCTAATGTGTGGAGAGTGGGTGAGGTGGGACATGAAGCTAGGAAGATTGACTGGAACCAGATCAGGCTGAATGTTACAGATTCCAGGAAAGAGACTGCTGTCTGTTTTTGTTTTTGTTTTCCTACATGTGATAGAAGCTTAAAAGGGTTTTTAGGAAAGGGAATAACATCATCTCTTTTATGTGTTAAAGATAATTCTGGATGTACAGTGGAAAATGGACTGCAGGGCGGGAACTATGAAAGAGGGATATTAATTATGAGGGCCCACTGTATAGTCATCAAAGCAATCACCTGGACTGAGACCAAGATGATAGCAGTGAAGATGGTAAAGAGAGTAGCTTCATGCATATGCATATGTATATGTATATGTGTGTGTGTATTTTCTTTTCTTTTCTTTTTATTTTTTGTGGTGCTGGAGATGGAACCCAGAGCCTCATGCATAAGAGACAAGCACTGCCACTGAGCCATATCCACAGTCCAGATTCAGGACATGTTTTTGAGGTGGACTCAATAGGATTGGCTGATGAACTAGATGGGTGGATGGAGGCTAAGAAAACCAAGGAACTGAAACTCAATTTACTTTGTGTTGAGTAAAAAGGAAATGGAAAATCAAGGCAAGAGTGAGAGAGATTAAAAACTATTATACCAAATAAGATTTGGAAGTTCTGGCATTTATCTAAGTCCCTGCTTAACATGGGTAACAAGATATTATTATATTAGGATGAGGAAAGGCAAAGTTCCCAAAACTGCTTTGTAAAAGTTTTCCTGTGATATCAATTTGAGGGTCATCCTACTGGAGGATCTATGCCAAGCAGGCAAGTGACAATAAGGGTACTAGTTCTAGTTACTGGAAATTTATGAGATGCTGGGTACTGTGCTAAGTGCTTTGATATAGAAGAACTACCTCATTTAATCTTCACATTAATCCTAAAATATTATCACTATAACATGGGGTACAGAGACTGAGGGAATAGTGTAAGGTCACGTAATTCATACGTGGTAGAGAGAGGTCAGAGTCTAAACTCTGTTATGTTATATTGCCTCTGATACTAACTCAACACCAATTTTAGGCTAGGCACAGTAAGACAGGCTGGCAGATACAGTTATATGTATGTTCAGAGTTGTCACAATTTACTATCAGCAATACGTTGGAGAGATACAAACCTTGTAAGAATAAACAACTTTGCAGGTGAGTGGATAATTCCGTAAGGTGCCAGATGGGCTGGAACTGCTGTCATCAAAAGCATCCATATTATCTTCAAATTCTTCTCCTCCTTCTCTTTCAGTGTCTGTATTAAGCTAGGAAAAATCAGAAGTCATTGGCTAATTTGCTTATTTCAAGAAAATGGTGGAAAACAGGAAAAATACTTAAAATTTGATTGCTTCGAATTGTAAGTTTACCTGTTCAACTATACATAAGTGACTATTCTCACTTGCATTTTTCATGTTATGAAAGGACAGATTTTTAAGAATTAAAAGTAAAGTATCTTTCCAATATATAAGAAGTAATTTATCAGTGTCCTGTCACTTTTCACTGTTAAATAATGACTGACAAAAGCTCTTAATCTTTTTTTGCGGGGGTAGGTCTGGAGCTTAAACTCAGGGCTTCATGCTTGCTAGGCAGGTGTTCTACCACGTGAGCCACTCCACCAGCCTGTTTTGCATTGGCTCTTTTGAGATAGGGTCTTGTGGCTTCAAACCACAATCCTCCTGATCTCTGTATGTAGCAAGGACTACAGGCGAGTGCCGGTCCCGGCTACTCTTAACCATTTTTAACTGATAGTTTGAGGAAACATTAAAAAGCTTCCTAAACAAAAACAAATGCTTCCTAAGTGCAATCAAGGATGTAGAGAAACAGTCTTTCTTTTATGGCTGGCAGAAATGTGAATTCACACATTTCTTTTGGAAAATAACACTGTCTAAAGCTAATAACATACCACTTGATCCAGTAATTCCACTTTTGCGATTACATCACAAAAGCACCAGAAAAACAAAAGCACCAGAATTGTAAGACTATGTTCTATGATGTTTTACTGCTTGTAGTAACAAAAACCAGGACACAACAACAGGGCAGTGTTTGAATGAAGTATGACATAACTACATTATAAATGAATACCATACATTAAAAACGAGTTATAAAATAGAAATCCCAGAAATAAATATTACATATATGGTTAAATTATTTCCAATAGGGTACCAAGACCATTCAGTGGGGGAAGAACAATTTTTCAATAAATAAAACTGGATATTCATATGAGAAAGAATGAAGTTGAAATATAACCTTACATCATATAAAAATTAACTCAAATGCATCAAAGACCTAAACATAAGAAGCAAAACTGTTAGCTCATTTGGGCATGGGGCACAATCATGTAATCACTGATCCTAGCACTCAGGAGGCTGAGGCAGAAGGACTGTGAGTGTGAGACCAGCCTGGGCTACATAGTAAGCTGAAAGCCAGCCTAGGATGATAATGAGACCCTGACTTAAAAAAAAAGAAAGAAAGAAGGAAAAAGAGCTGAAACTATTAAACTCTTAGAAGAAAACAAGGGAAAGCTTCAAGAGACTGGATTTGGCAATGATTTGTAAATATGACACCAAAACCACAGGAACAAAAGATTCAAACATAAACGGGACCATTAAAAGCAAAAATCTGTATGCACCTAAGGACAACAGAGTGACAGGGCAACCCACAGTGGGTGAAAAATCATCTATCTGATAAGGGATTAATATTCAGAATACATAATGACTAAAACTCAACAACAAAAAATAACCCAATTAAAAAACAGGCAAAGGATTCCATTTCTCTGAAAAAGGTAACATAAATGATCAATAAATGGTATTGAGTGCTAAAAAGATGCTCAGTATCACTAATCATTAGGAAAATGCAAACCAAAACCACAATGAAACACCACTTCCCACTCAAAAAAATGAGAAAATATCAAGTGTTGGTGAGGATGTGGAAAAATGAAGCCCTTGTACACTGCTAGTGGGAATGTAAAATGGCAGCTACTACTATTGTGGAAGACAGTGGTATGGCATTTTCTTAATAAAGTAAACAGAATTACAGATAATTCAGAAGTTCTACTTCTAGGTATACACCTAAAAGAACTGAAAGCACAGACTCAAATAGATACTGGTAAACCAATGTTCACAGTAGCAGTATTACAATAGCCAAAAGGGGAAAGCAACGCAAGAGCCCACTGACAGATAATGGTTAAAATAACTGTGGAATATACACACAGTAGAATATTATTCAGTCTTTAAAAGGAAGGAAATTCTAACATGTTATCACGTGGATGAACTCTTGAGGACACTCTGATAAGTGAAATAAGCCAGTCATAAAAAGATATACACTATGATTTCACTTATATGCAGCATCTAGAATAGTCAAAGTCATGGAAACAGAAAGTAGAATGGCAATTGACAGGGCTGACAGTAAGCAACAAGGAGTTATTGTTTAACATGCACTGAGTTTTAACTTTTTTTTTTTTTGAAGCAGGGTCTCCCTATATAGCCCAGGCTGGCCTTGAATTCATGAGGCCTCCTGAATGCTCGGATTACAGGTGTGCACCATCACTGTCGGCTAGAATTTTACTTTTTTAAGATGAAGAGGGTTCTAAAGATGTATGGTTCCACAACAATGTGAATATTAGTTATTGTTTCTGAATTTTATACTTAAAAATGATAAACAGGGGGACTGGCGGAGTGGTTTAAGTGGTAGAGTGTCTGCCTAGCAAGCATAAGGCCCTGAGTTCAAACCCAGTACCACCAAAGGAAAAAAAAGATGAACAGGTGCAGTCCTTTCTACCATGTAACACATGGAAAGTAATTTTTTTGAGACAATAAATTCATGTAGCCCAGGCTGCCCTTGAACTTGGGATCCTCCTACCTCAGTCTCCCTGAATAAGTGCTGAGATTATAGGCATACTAAAAGTAATTTTGAATCTGAGTCTCAGATTAAAACTATAGCTATAAAAGCATATATTAAATAAAATGGTACTGAGTGTTAAAGAATTAGATTCATGGTAGGCACCAGTGGCTCATGTCTGTAATCTTAGCTACTCAGGAAGTAGAGATCAGGAGGATCACAGTTCAAAGCCAGCCCTGGCAAATAGTTCCTGAGATCCCATCTCAAAAAAATCCATAGCAAAAAAGGGGCTGGAAGACTGACCCAGGGTGTAGGCCCTGAGTTCAAGTCCCAGTACTGCAAAAAAGATTTAGACTCACATGTATTTATCTAGAGTACTACCTTATGATGTATTAAATACAAATAACATTTCTATGAGCATAGATATTTGACAGTAGAGGGCAGAATAAGAAACAAGACTGGGGAATACAGGAAATAACTGATTTGCCTTTTATATACCTCTGTACTGTTCAAACATACAAAGGCATCGATGGATGTTTACACACTAAGTTGTAAGGAATGGTAAGGACTTGGCTACACAGAGAACCATTAATTAATCAATTAATTAGAGGATAATTTTGAGGGTCCTCCTAGTATATGCTGTACATGATATGAGGCTTTTGACAGATACGAAGTGAAGGACATGGCATTTGCTTTAGGAGTTCACAATGTGAGTGAAGAGCTTCCACATGAAGGCCAAACGAAGAAGTGGGAGAGGAGTGTGGAAAAGGATTGGGTTTCTGCCTATAGTGACCCTAAAGGAAGAGGGACCTCTGTTGTCAAGTTCTACTTTTTCCCTTGTGTGATTATCACTAATGTTTTAAAAGTGACTCTCCTCTTAACTGCTATTTTCCTAATAAAATTCTATAGAATTTCAGGAAGTTTCAGAAGAATAAGCTATATTTTTTCCTGCTACATTTATTGTCACAGCTTCCAGGGTCCCTGAAATATTTTTGTTTATAACTATTACTAAAAATTCTTTGCAGCTGAGTGAGGTAATCTTGTGCCTCATCTTACAATTTATTCACCTATGGTCAGCAAGGTTATTGGCAAAATAGGCTCAGATCTTTACTTCTTAAATGTCTGACTTATGATTCTACTATTTTCCAATAAGGCATTGTGTCATGTTAAAAGATAAGGATCACATTCTAGAATTTGCCATTAAACTAACTTTAAACGTAGTTAAACATTTAAACCAGCCAGGTGCTGGTGGCTCACCCCTGTAATTCTAGCTACTCAGGAGGCAGAGATCAGGAGGATCTCAATTCAAGGCCAGCCTGGGTAAATAGTTCATGAGACCCCATCTTGAAAAATACCCAACACACAAAAGGGCTGGTGGAGTGGCTCAAGTGGTAGAGCACTTGCCTAGCAAGTGTGAGGCCCTAAATTCAAACCCCAGTACCGCCACCCCCCAGTCCCCCCGAAACCCACATAGTTTCATATACTTAGAACACTGTGCCTTCAGATTCTAGAAAGGTTACAGAATTGGGTCTTACAATGAAACAAAACACTCATGAATTTATAAAACTGGGAGTAGACCAAGTTTTCAAAAACATACATGGAATACTAACATGTACTGTGCTTCAGCGCTGGGAATCAGTCCAAAACATTTTAATTTGACAGCAGAAGTTGATACTAAACATTCCTTTCCCCTCTATCCCCCCCCCATCTATTTTGAGTTCCTTTTTGAAACTTATGGAAGGGATTGAAAGGCTGCAGTGACAACAGAGGCAATGCCCCGTGCTTCTGCGCTGTTCGAGCAGCTCTCCAAAGCATGTCATCTCAGAATAATTTCTTCCTTTTCCCTCTTCCACCCTCATAATTGTGACGTTTTCTTGACCCAACACTTATAAAATCACATTCTTTCTCTCCTATTTAATGACTGCTCCTCTCTCAACCCTTTTTCTTCCTGTCACTTGATAGAACTTTAATCAAATCCATTCTTCCTCCCTCTCTCCCTCCCTCCTGGCAGTATTGGGGCTTGAACTCAGGACCTCATACTTGCTAGGCAGGCACTCTGGCACGTGAGCCACTCGCCAGCCCTTTTTCCTTCTTTGTATATTGTACTGCAAGGGCAGTAAGAAGAATTAATGTATTTATTTAATTTATTTATTATGTATCTTGGTGGTACTAGGGTTTGAACTCAGGCTTTGTGCTTTCTAGGCAGGCACTCTACCACTTGGGCCACACCTCCAGTCCATTTTACTCTGGTTATTTTGGAGATGGAGTGTACCAAACTATTTGCTTGGGCTGGCCTTAAACCTCAATCCTCCTGATCTCAACCTCCCCAGTAGCTAGGATTACAGGTGCTAGCTGCCCGAGCCTAGCAGTAGCCATCTTCTTGTATTCCGCAAAATGACCTGCTGCGCATCATTAGCTTTGTGGGCTG